CCATGCAGCACCCAGAATAATTTCTATGTTTCACAAATTAGTTATTTGGGGATTACAAACAGAAATAAGCATAGATGAAGTTTATCTACCTCTTCAGGATCCTGCCCCCAACTTGCTTCTCAAAAACATTATAGAAATGGGCCATTCTGAGGTCCTAGGCAGCTTTTCAGATTCTGGACCTATTTTTCCTCTCTAGCCCAATCCTGTTTCCTCTGCCATCCTTAGAATTATTCTGTTGCAAGAAAGAATCTTATTGACTAATTCATTAATAACAAGTACAACCAAAACATTTTACCTTCCAAAGAGAAACTTGTAAAGAGGAACTATTTCACATGCCAAATATTCTCTTGTAGCAGTGTATTTACAAGATCAGCAAAAGGTCCTATTGATAGTAGTGAAGAAGGGAATACAGAAGAGCATGTACATTTGCATGGAGACCATGCCCAGTACTCCCTCCAATCAGCTACTTCACCTTGACAAGTCTGAGCTGCCACCACTCCAGCCTGCTGCACTCTCTGTACATACTAATCTGCAGAACAAATATTCCCTGCAAAGGGGAAGTCTGGGCCTCAGAACCAGCCAGACAGAATTTCTCAGTCACGGTATTTCAAAAAATTTGAAATTGGATCTTGATCACTGAGAACCTGTCATCATAATTAAGCAGAAAAAAGCAGACAGACATCTGTTCTGTACGGGAACACAAACAGCATACTAATTACAAGCTTTTGCCTGGTGTGGAACACTGCGGCCTTGGCTTGGACAGGCTGCATGGCCAGACGGGCAGAGGCTGACCAGGCTGCAGCCATCAGAGGAGCAATAAAGGTCACTACGATATGGCTGAAGGCTCTGCCTTTCATCAGCTGAATGAAGGAACTGAATGGAGTTCCTTCTGGACCACTGTCCCGTCTTCCTCTTACACACCCTGGATTCCAGGAACGAACCTGGGAACTGAGCTTGCAATCTGAATCTTGTACTTTTCATTCCCTAAAGCTGTCATAATATGCTTTTCCCTCCTCCTTTTATCCAAATCTTACCCACCTATCAAGGACTACCCCTAGATCCACATTATTCATTTGCTAATTTATTTATTTACCAAAAATAAGTACTTAATTTGTACAAAGCAGTGTGCTAATCATTGCATGGAATACTAGGTAAATTGTGGGCAAATCTTTTCTTTGTGATGCTTATAAGCCTAACAGCAGACAGTAAATAGATACAAAAATAATTCCAATATAAAATAAAAGAAAAAGAAAACCTGTTAGTATCTTAACACAGGTAAAACTAGGTGCTTAGGAGTTCAAAACAAAGAACAATGAGTTGTACTGAAGCACATCAAAGACTTTATCGAAAAGGTGACAGTTGTGCCAGGACCTGAAGAACAGGTAGCACATGAGGACACAGATATGCAGGAAGAAACAGAAAGAACCACTGAAGTAAATAGAAGGGGGGAAAAAAGCTGCAAAGTGTGCGTGAAGAACACCAAACATGTTCAGTGTGATGAGAAATAGACTTAGAGAGTCATGAGATATGAAGTTAGAAAAGCAGCCTGACAGCCAGGCGCGGTGGCTCACATCTGTAATCCCAGAACTTTGGGAGACCAAGGCAGGCAGATCACCTGAGGTCGGGAGTTTGAGACCAGCCTGAACAACATGGAGAAACCTCATCTCTACTGAAAATACAAAATTAGCCAGGCGTGGTGGCACATGCCTGTAATCCCAGCTATTCGGGAGGCTGAGGCAGGATAATCGCTTGAACGTGGGAGGAGGAGGTTGCAGTGAGCTGAGATGGCGCTATTGTACTCCAGTCTGGGCCACAAAAGCACAAGAGCAAAACTCTGTCTTAAAGGAAAGAGAAAGAAAGAAAGAAAGAAAGAAAGAAAGAAAGAAAGAAAGAAAGAAAGAAAGAAAGAAAGAAGGAAAGAAAGAAAGAAAGAGAGAGAGAGAGAGAGAGAGAGAGAGAGAGAGAGAGAGAGAGAGAAAGAGAGAGAGAGAGAGAGAGAGAAAGAGAGAGAGAAGGAAAGAAGGAAGGAAGGAAGGAAGGAAGGAAGGAAGGAAGGAAGGAAGGAAGGAAGGAAGGAAGGAGAGAGAGAGAAGAAGAAGAAGGAAGGAGAGAGAGAGAAGAAGAAGAAGGAAGGAAGGAAGGAAGGAAGGAAGGAAGGAAGGAAGGAAGGAAGGGAGGGAGGGAGGGAGTGAGGGAGGGAAGGAACGGAAGGAAGGAAGGAACAGAAGGAAGAAAGACTAATCACAGCATCCCTTCTGGAAAATAATCCAGGAGGAAACCACAGCCTCTTCTGACCCCTCTTCTCTGTGACTTTCATATGCTTCTGTTTGTCCCTCGCCCTTTGTGCTCTAAATGGCAGACATTCAACAAATGTGTGTTGAATAATAAATTAATAAGCTCTTCACTGCTAAGTGTTGCCATATAATATAACCCAGGGAAATCGTATGGTGTGTTCTAAGTCAAAACAGTTGCTTCAAAGTAATCATCTTTGTTCCTTGATGCTTGCAAAACAAATAAATAGAAACTATGATTTGCAAAAAGCAAAATAATGGTGATAATTCACATGTGAAGGGTATCTTGAGGTATGTGAACCATGTTTTATTTTATCTCACCAGTTACTTGGTTGAGAGTGAGCCAAAAGCAGATGTACTGGTGGAATTTAGAAGACCTGTGCTGTTCCCTGTTTCCTCAACAGGCATTTCCATATTATTGGAAACTTCAGCAGAGGGGCCAGAGATGGCACAAGTTGGAACCGAATCTGACAAAAGAAGAGATAAAGCAAATAATAAGTGCCTGGGAAACAGAATTCTTGAGACTCCAAGCTGAAAATACTCAGCAACTTTTAAAAGGTTTAGCTAAATCACAGTAAAATTAAAATAGCAATAATAATATAATAATAGCTAGAATTTATTGAGTACTTCCTATGTACCAGATATTGTGATAAATGCCTTATCAATATAATTTCATTTAATTCTTTTAACTACCCTATGAAGTAAGTATTATTATAAACACTTAATAGATGAGGAAAGTGGGGCAGAGTGGTGAGGCAACTCCAACTCTAAGTCTTAATTAGACTAACCCTCTGAATGAACGGATGCATTACCAATAGAGACCAGGACACTTAGCAGACACCAATGAGGCAGACATTTCCGTTCCCGGAGCCTAATCTCTGATAGAAGAGCAGCTCAGAGCTCCCAGAGTTTTATATATGTGCTGATTCTTACAGACTTTCAAGGATGCAAAAACATACATGGTCACATTGAAATGTTCAATGGATCCACACATTGCAAGCCAACAAGCAACACGTTAAAATTCATGAAATGTGTACTTTTATGCAGACCAGAAAGGGAGAAAGAAATAAATGATACCCGTAGATTTAAGCTGCGTTGAAGAGTGCTGGGTTAGAGTTGTGGATGCGAGGAAGAAACAAGACAAAGCCATCCCCGTCCTTGGTGGCCCCCTAAGCATTTGCTCAACAGTTTGCTTTGGTCTGTCTGCTGTTGAGCAAGACAGAGGTGTTTCTTAGTGTTTTTTAGGCTTTTCCCCAAAACCTATGTGGAAGTGAGGAAATAATGGGCAAAATATCACTTATATCCTTACCTCTCCAGGAGACCATCTTGCAGATTGCAGATTTAGTAGCTGTATGATCTGCGACAAGTAATTGTGAGTCTGTATCACCATGGGTGTGTGTCACTTTTCTGTACCTCAGCCTCTTCATCTGTAAAATCTGGATCAGAGAATGCCCACCACATAAGGTTGCTGTGAGGATTAAATGATATAATATGTATATAATTAATATATATATAATGTACTTAACACCTGGCATATAGTCAGCACTATGTAAATGTTAGTTATTATTATTATTATGTGTAGTATAGCCATGCAAATGTTAACTATTTTAGTAATTATTCTCATTAAATGCCACTTACGAGAGGTCTGCAGAAAGTCTCCTGAAGCAGAGTTTATTGTATTTATATACTAACTTGCCCATACCTGTGCACATTTTCTAAGGCAATCACAGGTAATTTTCTGATGTGTTCTTGCCTTTATGCATTTGTGCTTTTTTTTCAATGTCATAATTTAATTTATTTTCTTCATTTTTCTTTCATCAAACCCATTTGGACTTCCTAACGGTGCAGTAAGGGAAAGAGTGAGGATTGAAACTACACAATACTGAAAGAGGTGAGAAGGTTCTTCATTTGGGCAGTGCTCTGACAGCAGAGAGAAGCTCTTCACCTTGTGTCTCATCAGAGACAGAAAACATCTGTAATAGGGTGGCAGTGGAAGAAACACACATCACGACCATCTGCCTCTCCACTCCTTTTAAAAATATGTACAGTCATGCACTGCTCACTGATGTTGGGGTCAACGACAGATTCTGTGTATGACAGCGGTTCCATAAGATTAGAATACGGTATTTTTACTGTACCTTTTCTATGTTTAGACACAAATTCTTACTATTGTTTTCCAATTGCCAACAGTGTTCAGCAGGGTAACATGCTGTACAGGTCTGTAGCCTAGAAGCAATAGGCTCTACCATATAGCTAGGTGTGTAGTAGGCTGAACCACCTTGGTTTGGGAAGGTACACTCTATGATGTTAGCAGGACGAAATCGCCTAACCACGTATTTCTCAGAGCATCCCATACCCATCATAACGCAATGCGTAACTGTACATTGAACCAGTCTTCTACGACCAAAATATGGTCTGGGCAGAAGAAAGCTTTGAAGAAGCACAAAGGCAGAGAAGGTGCCCGTCCTGGGGAGCCTCGGAAGGGCCCAGTGACCAGACTTCCAGAGGCCCTGCCAGCTGCCCTAACAGAAGCACCAGCCTCGCTGTGCAGGCAGGAACGGGCCTGGCGCGCCAGACCGCTCGGCCCCGCCCACTCGCCGCTCTCGGAAAGCTGGAACCCGGCCCCTTTGGAGGCGGCGGCGTCGGCTGCGCGGGCCTCGGGTGCGCGGGCACGCGGGACTCCCGGCTGTCAATCAGGCGCGGGCTGAGCTCTACCAGGCGGAGCGGCGGCGGCGGCGGCGGTGATGGGACCCCAGCGAGAGATCTGCGGCTAGGCTGGCTGCACTTGCTCCACGGGTCAGGGGATCGGAGGGGGCAGGTAAAGCCACGCGGAGTCCAGGGATGGCGGCTTTCTATGCTCCAAATGTCTTTCTCCAGTTCTCCCTCTCCTCCCTTTCTCTCTTTCCTTCCTCCTTCTTCATGCATAAATGTTCTCTCTCTCGCTCCCTCCCTCCTTCATTCACGTTTATTATATGTGCACCAATCTCCACAAAAAAACACGCGTATTAAAATCGGTGAAGACATACAAATGAGGAAGAGCCAGCTCCATGCTTTGGTGGTTTGTGCTTTGCGTTATGTAAGAATTTGGGGGGGTGGGGGGCAGGAGGGGCGTACAGCTAAAAACTTGAGAGTTTCCTTTCCATAAGATGAGAAAAGTTGTGTATTAGGAAAGAGTCAAATATATGTATTTAGAGTTTGCAAAGTTGGTTTGATTTATTTTTCAGGCTGAATTGAGCCCCCACTGGCCCTCCCCACTCCTGTGCCACGTCTGAAGATGTTTCAATGTTTTGGTGTGATCTCAGGACCTACTTCTTTGTGTTGTTAGAAAGGAACATTAGGGTGGGGGGTCAGACAGAGTCTGGAGGCCAAAAAGAAAACAGAACTGGAATTTAACAGCTGTTTGCTTGATTGGTTTCTGGCGCTGTAACAGAAATGTTTTCAGGACCTTGGAGAGCTCCTGGGGGCTCCACATCAGGCCAGCCTTTGGTGAAGGGCATGTGTGGAATCTTCAGAGAAAATGGAGAAGGTGACAGATAAAAAGAAGAGAAATGTAATTCCGAGAGGCAGAGAGAGACAGGAAAGAAAGAGATACAGTTGGGGGTGGAGGGCAGCTCTTGGGGGAGGGAGGAAGGGGAGAATGTAGTGAATTATGATTGGCTTGTTTTCCTTTGCTTATCCAGATCCAGGAGGCTAATATAATTTACTTTTATCCCCAAATCTGCTCACACACCACTCACAAAATTTGGGGGAAAGTAAATGGGTCTTGAAGATTTGGCTTTGGTCCATATAGGCTGACCCTAGAAATGCTGAAAACAGTTTATCAGGCCTCAGCTAGGCTTACTCACCTCAAGTCTTCAGGTTCTCCTGCAAACAAATGGGGACCTGTTCATCAGAAAGAATTCTTAATGATCCCTTAAAAATATGGCCCCAGATATTATCTTATTTCACATAACTAGAGTAATGTAGGAAACCAATAGCCTTAGAGTTGGCAATGGCTTTTTAATCAAATTTTACATGGGCACCTGCTTTTCTTAGGCAGCTGGAAAGCAAAATGATCATGATAGGAAGAAAACGGATATAGGAGTACAACTCAACCTAATAAGTAAATCATCCAAAGAGGCTTACAAAGTGTAAAATGCATGTAAACATATCAGAAAATATAGTGATTATAGGACTCATATATTTTACATTATAAGACCAAGCACCAGAAAAGATCAATTCTGAAGTATCTAGGAAGCAAGTCACTTTTTTAAATTTAGAATTTGTAAAACAGAAATGGATCAGTCTAGTTGGTATTATTAAAAACATGGAATATAGTTATATCAAAATGAGAATAGCACATGTACAGTGTGTTATAATTTACAAAGCCCTTTTATGTCATCTCATTCACTTTATAAATTATTATGAGAACCCATTGAAAAGTTCTAAAATATAGTTTAGACTTTTATTTTTTAGAAAGCTATCTCAATTCTTAAACATGAAGTTCTTTGTCAATGCTTTTGTCAACATTAAAATGATTCTTTATAAGTTATATGAATGGCTTATGAAATTTAAATTTTGATCTGGATTACATTCTGCAGAGACTTTTTTCTTAAATAGGATTGAAGAATGTGCCATTAAAAAGAAAGATCAAGGAGTAAACAAGAAGAAGAAAAAGAGGACTTCAAAGGTAGGACTCAAACCCTATCACATGTAGATTCATAAGCACCCTGTGTCTGCATATAGATAAAGAAGACATTAAAAGAGAATATGGGTTCTTTTTTTCTCATTTTGGCTTTGGATTTTATGTACCTTTCTAAAAAATAAATCTTGAAGAATTAAAGTAAATGATAACAAGTAAGATAATCTTACATTGTTACTCCTTTTTAAAAATTATAAAAGTGGTTACGTGTCCACTGACTTTGAAGGTATTTTTATAACTCAGTATAAGGCCACAATCTCTACCACTGTTTCAGAAAAATAAAATATCTCTGAAATAATCCATTGGTAGGCACACAGTTCAGGTTTTAAGACCATGCTTATATAATTTCAGAATGCCTGATTTAAAGGTGAAAAAGCTGTTAGCAGGCTTTCATGCCTTCCTGTATCCGCTATGAGTCTGACTAAATCTTTTAAGGAACTGACCTTTTGGCTTGGTGTTGAATAAGTGGTCTAAATTGTCTACGTGCCTGTACTTTGTCTTTTGCAGCACTAGCCCTGTGGAAAAGTGGCTATAATGGGAACCTCAGTCTCATTGTCTCAGAATCATTTTATGGGAGAGAAAAGCAGCATGAAAAATTGAATGATATTTCAAAGAAAATAAATAGAACAGGGCCTATGCCTAGCCTCACAACTGACTCACACATAGTGTCACAGGAAAACACTCATTCTTTTTGTGCCTCAATTTGCTGCCTCTCTTCTCTCAAGGAGACCATGAAGACAAAGAATATAACATCTGTAATGTTCTTAGAGTTTCATGAGGCATAAAGATTTATTTCTACTTCAAGGCTATGAACATTTATAGAGGAAAATAAAAATTAACTTCAAATATTAGACTGAAATTTAAATTTCCAGCACATTGATACTACAGTCTATTGGCACACATAGTGATATCATAACAGCACATGCCTGACTCTGTTTCCCTAATACAGGAATTATTCAAGGGATTCTCAGCATTTGTACTCCCTTCTGTTGTAAATACCTCTTGATGATGCCCATTTTGTTATGTTTATTGCTTCATAAGTGTGTCTCCTTGTGACCCAAGAGTTCATGGAGGGCAGACCTGGCCCCACTCATCTTCATAACTATTATCTAACTCACAGGTGCCAGGCACGTAGTGCTTTAAAAACACTGAAGGAAGGGGAGGATGAAAAATGGAGGACTACTCAGGCCTTCATCCCTACCAACCCACGTAGAACTCTGCAGGAAGTTTCAAAGTACTGGAGATTAAAGCAGTCAACAGTACAGAAAAAGTCCCTGCCCACATGTCGCTTACACTCTATCATGTATGTGGTCTATCAGACCATAAGTAAATAAACCACACATAGAATATCAGATAGTAACAAGTGCTAGGAAGAGAAACAAACCTAGACAAGGGGATAGAAAGTGATGGAAGCCTGATATTTAGATATATTGATTATAGAAAGCCTCTCAGAAGAATTTGCTAGGGAGTGGCAGCAAAATTTTTTCCCTCCACTGGTCTCTGGGTTACAATAGGTGTGCTGAGTTGGTAAGAATTGAATGTTCATTTAATGTATAACAGTGCATGCAATTGAGACAGTTGCTATGGACAGATTATAAAAACAAGAAATCCACGGATGGATCCTCATTTATCAGCAAGTAGAGTATCCTTCAGAGAGAATAAAAACAACTCTCTCTTCATAGATAACAAAATGATCACACATAAAAGTTGCTTGTGCTCCATCACCATGGCCATGCTGGCAGGGAGGATGCAACAGGCTCTATCAGCGTGTTTACAGAATGAAGACTAATGTGGATTGATTTAAATACAACACTAAAGAGTGTGTTTACTCATCCCCTCTATCCATGTACCTCCTGTGATATTAAAGCTTTCTGTGAATAAAAAAAGGCTCTCTAAAATATTTTCATTAACAACAGTCATAGATTAAACCTTTTTGTTGTTGCTACTATAGCTACTGAAATATAGACATCAGAATTCTTATGAAACCTTGATCTTTAAGTAAATACTGAACCAAAGTAAGAAGTCTTCGCACATAGCTTCTGTTTCTGTCTCAATTCCAGTTTGTTGTATGTAATTTAATAACTGCCTAGTCTTTAAAGTGACTTTATGAAGTGACCTCACATATCTTTTTTTATAATACCAGAAGTGTCCATCAATCAAATGAGATTCCAAATAACTGTAACATTCTCAGATTTGGGACAAAAAGTTATTGACTTCCCTAGGAGATGTATAACTCTCTGTTGAGATTTTGTAGGTCTAAAACCATCACTCTAACATGCTATATTTTAGAATTCATGTTCTTCCAAGTCATTCTCCTCTAGGAGTGAATTCCAGGTAGTTGCATGTTTGGGAAGATGTGTGATACCTCTCAGACCTATTTTAGGCAACATATACGATAATGCATTAACTTGCTAAACAAACAACATACAAACATTTAGTCTACCTAGTAGCAAGTAACTAACCTAACTAGTTATATGCCCTTTTTAAATGGAAGCTGCATACATACTAGTACAAAGTAAGAATTTGAGCTGTCAGTGAGGATATGGAAGGAGGTGGCAAATCAGTAAACCTAGTTGTTTGTTCAATAGAAAATGATAGAATCATTCTGTTGAGACAGACAAAAAATCCTGAAAAACTACATCTGGAAGAAATTAGAGATTAATCTGATCCAACCCACTTACTTTAAGGATGATGAAACCATAGCCCAGAGAGGCTAATGAGCTTATCTGAAATCTCCTGACCAGTAAGTTGCAAATCAAAAACTGGCAATAGAGTCCATTCTCTGCTCTGTGTATGTAGTACAAAACAGGCCATGTTCTTGTTCATGTTTTGTGCCCCTGGGGGAGAAGGCGCTTTGGAATTCTTTTTCTGGAATGTAGCTAACATGGCTAAAAATCCATGACTTCAAGTAGAGCGTTCCATCATTCAGGCTCAAAAACATTTGTTTTATGACACTTTCTATCTCTTTTATGATTTTACCCATATTGCTTTTTACAAAGTTGGACAACTGGGTCTCATCTTACAAAGCAGAAACATTTAACCTAGTGTGCCGGAAGCAAACTGTGCAGGGAATGGCTATAATATATCATACAGTCCTTCTCTGCATCAAAGCTCAATCCTGAGAAAGAACAACTTCAGCATCTAAGGAAACATAACTCTTACTGTTGCTATGAGGGATTTTTTTATTCCTATCATATCTATTTTTGTCCCTTTTTCATGTTAAAGTCTCTGATGCTTTATAGAAAATCTGAAAATATATATTTAGAGGAGGTGGTTCTGACTATGCAAGTATATGATTCAGTCCATACTCCTGCTTCTTGTATTAATTGTCATCTTTCATCTGTTCCCTGACTCATGGTGTAACCTTTAGTAGATGATTTTTCTATGCCTCAGTTTCCTAGTTGACAAAGCAGAGTTAGTAATACCAATCCCATCTCCCCTGGACTGAAATTTGCATTAGAATGCCTTAAAGGAAAATGCCTTTAAAATTATACCACTTATATACCGATGGTAACAGGTTCTTATTAACCATCTTCATTGTATAAGCATTAAACAGAAGGTACTGAAGAGATCATCCTAGGGCTTAAAATGTTAAAACTAGGTTAATATTCTTTTGATCTGCCAGATTTTGCTGCTCGATTCAGGCAAAGAACGTTCTAAAAATCTTGACTTCTCATGAAATCATATCTTTCTAAATGTTTTAAAGCAAATGTGTTTGTGTGTGTGTGGGTGTGTGTGGGTGTGGGTGTGTAGACTCTTGCCTCCCTGCACTCTTTCCCTGGGTGATTTCTTTAGATGGTAGCTATACCTGAAACAGAAAAAAAGCACAGGAGCTAACAGTTAGTTGGTTTCCATTGATCAACAGCTAAAAAGATGAGGTTATTGGTCATCATTAATAGCACCATTTTTCTAAGGCCAGGGCCATGTTTTCCTCGATTTGACTACATTTTTAACCAAAACTCATTTGTAGCTAAGAGCACATATTTAAAGATGTTCTAATGGGTTTACTTTGTGCCCACTGGACAAGGAATTGCTGACTATCCCTGGTTCCCACTTTGATTTTAGCCCCATAATTCTATCCAATCAAACTAAGTGGCCATATATAGGCATTTGATGGGATTGTAGATCGATATTTTTCTTTTGTAGATAAACATTACAAGCTGGTTGCTTGATAAGTAACTGGAAACATTTAATATGCCTCTGTTGGCCTGGATTACAGCACAAGCTCTGAGAAAACCTGGTTTAATAGAAAAATAACCTTCCATGTTGTTCCTCACTTTTTCAGATATAGACTATGTCCACACAACTAAAACTATCTACAGGATAATTTTTTTGGAAGAAGTCTGACTTATTTTAAAACACAAAAATAACTACCTTCATTTATAGTCAAACAATAGTGTGGCAGTTATATTGTGGACTAAAGAGTTCTTTCAGAGTTTTATATTTGTTTTATTATTTCCACTTTTTTATATTATACTTTAAGTTCTAGGATACATGTGCAGAATGTGGAGGTTTGTTACATAGGTATACATGTGCCATGGTGGTTTGCTGCACCTATCAACCCGTCATCTAGGTTTTAAGCCCCACATGCATTAGGTATTTGTCCTAATGCTCTCACTCTGCTTGCTCCCCACCCCCTGACAGGTGTGCAATGTTCCCCTCCCTGTGTCTATGTGTTCTCATCTATCTACAGGATAATTTAAAAATCCAAACACATATTTCACATTTATTTGCTTATACGGAGATCAGAAAGTAGAGATGATAACTGGCAATTCCCTTATTCACCAAAATTACTGTCCCTCAGTAATTCTTTCTTTTTTATTTTTAACCATGATTAGTAACAAAATCCATGTAAATGCCTCTCTCTAAGGGTATCATTTACATCAAATACAGTGGAAATTTCCATCTTAAAAAGGCAGAGCCCCAAGCAGCCTGCCCAGGACATAGTTTTATATAACAGTTCTCTGAGTTCTTACTTACATTAGACACTTCATGGAAAATAATAAAAGGCTGTGTCCACTCTCCACATTACAGTCTAGCCACCCACATGGGCAGATGTATCTACAAATAATGGCTAAAATATAGTGTTAGAGCTAGTGAGGTGTAAATTATTGGCCAAGCCATTTGTGATTAATAAAGCATGAGGCATAGTTGCTCAGCAGCTTTTTAATAAAACTTCATACAACTTGACAATTAGTTAAAATGTCGGAGGAAGATACATGAGATCCGAAGGCAAAATTTTGAACTAGTAAGAGTAACGCCGTGTAGATTCCACAAGGAAACAGGGCTAAAAATCTGAGAGGACAGTTTAAGGCAAACTCCATCTTCAGCAAATGAGAATGCCTGCCCAATTCTTTAACATGTAAGTGCAAAGACAACTGGATTCTAAGAGATTAAAGATTTCTTGTCAAGGCAATAAAAATCTCAGCTTCTTTGTTGCCATTTCTTGCGTGCTTCATGCTTAAAGGTGTACCTAATTTATGCGAGTCGTGCTGTTGTGTATCATTTCATTTATGGAGATGCAGTTCTGATCATTGAGTATTTAGGGTAATCTTGCATTAAACAAAAAAGAAGAGCAGCTTATAGGAAAGACAGGTTTTTCTCACTCATCGGTGGGAATTGAACAATGAGAAAACTTTGTCACAGGAAGGGGAACATCACACACCAGGGTCTGTTGTGGGGTGGGGGGAGCGGGGAGGGATAGCATTAGGAGACATACCTAATGTAAATGACGACTTAATGGGTGCAGCACACCAACATGGCACATGTATACGTATATAACAAACCTGCACGTTGTGCACATATACCCTAGAACTTAAAGTATAATAATAAAAAGACAGGTTTTTGTTGTTGTTGTTGTTGTTTGGTTTTTTTTAATTGTTTTTTTTTTGTTTGTTTTTATTTTTTGTTTTGTTTTGTTTTGTTTGAGACGGAGTCTTGCTCTGTCGCCCAGGCTGGAGTGCAGTGGCACGATCTCAGCGCACCGCAAGCTCCGCCTCCCGGGTTCACTCCATTCTCCTGCCTCAGCCTCCTGAGTAGCTGGGACTACAGGTGCCCGCCACCATGCCCGGCTAATTTTTTTTTTTTTTTTTTTTTTTAGTAGAGACGGGGTTTCACCGTGTTAGCCAGGGTGGTCTCCATCTCCTCACCTAGTGATCCACCCGCCTCGGCCTCCCAAAGTGCTGGGATTACAGGCGTGAGTCACTGCGCCCGGTCAAGAAAGACAGGTCTTTAAAAGTACCTTTTCTGTAATGAAAAGAGCATTGTTCAACTAGGCATACATTACTCAGTCTGGTTCTTACCTTTCATATGTCTTTTGATCCTGAGGCCAAAGCCGGTGGTGCTGATCCATGTGGATGTTGTCATTCCAGCTGGGAAGGATGAGTTCTTGCAGCAACGTCTGTGGGTCCAGGCAGGCACAGGCTGCAGTTGAGGGCGGGTACCAGCGCTATGGAGTCCGGTCCTACCTGCACCAGTTTTATGAGGACTGTACCGCCTCAATCTGGGAGTATGAGGATGATTTCCAGATCCAGAGATCACCTAACAGGTGGAGCTCAGTATTCTGGAAGGTAAGGAAGGAGCATGTGTTTAACTTAGGGAATGGAAAAATTACTGGAAGTGGTTAATACTGCAGCCGTGGAGGATGGAGAGGTTTAGTACTCTCTGTGTGTGCATCACTTTTGGTGATACTAAATGTATTTTTCTTACCTTAGGAAAGAAGAATCTAAACTTTGGGCCAAAGAAAGCCTCTAAACACAGCACAATTATTGATGAGCAAGTTAAACATAAATAGGTACAATTGCCATATGAATTATTATTATTGCTACCATTAATAATGTGCCACTAAATTCACTAATTGAAGCATTAGTGAAAACATTATAGGCAAAACATTATATTCTTTCAACCTCCCTTACAGGTGTGGTAATGTCATTTGACAAGTTGCAACAATTATTAAAAAGAAATCATTAGGTATTTAGAGAGAGTTAATGATTAAATGTAGTACAGTGGTCAGTATACCAGCTCCATCTCTACCAAGTGTGTGATCATAAGGCTTTCTGACCCCAGCTTCCTCAAATGAAGGAATCTCATTAGACAACGTATTTAGTCCCTCAACAGATAATTAGTGAGCATCTACTCTGTGCCAAGAGGGTTCAAAGTGCTGGAGGTTAAAGTGGTAAACAGAGAAAGAAAAAGTGACTTCCCTTGTGGCGCTTATAATCTATCATGGGAAACAGGCTGTAAACAAAAGAAACTACATGACAGAACGTTAGGTAGTGATAGTGCTATGGATGACAGGGGGTGATGGAGGCTGGTATTTGGATATGCTGATGGTAGAAGGCTTTCAGAGGAGATGCCATCTTAATGAATACCAGGATGAGTTGAGGGAACAGACCTGGCTGAAGGTCATCCTAGACTGGGAAAATAGTAGGTCCAAAAGCTCTGAAATGGGAACAAGTTTGGTGTGTTTGAAAACGATCCAGAGGTCTCCAATCTGGTTGGAGTGGTGTAAGGAAAGGGACAGGCAATGAATTAAGAAAAATAACAAGACACAGATGATTTATGTAGAGCCTTGTACACCATAGTGAGGTCTTGGGTTTTTACCTCCAGAGACATGGGAAGCCACTGGAAGAGGTTGATTAATTTAGAGGGTGTTAAATACCCAGGCAAAAGATTCTGGTGGCATTAGTGGAGATGGTGAAAAGTAGTCAGATTTAGCTAAAGGTTATGCCTATTAGACATCTGAGTAGTGATCTCTAGTGACAATTTAAATATATCAATCTACAGCTCATAGATTGGGAGTTATTGACACATAGAATCTGTACAAGGCACTGGATTTCTGAGATCATCCAGGAAAAGAGTGTGGACATAGAAGAGAAGAGGACATTGGGACGTTCCAACATTTAGAAACTAAGAAGAGGAAGAGGCTTCAGGAAGGGATACTGAGAAGATGAACTTTAGATAATGCCTAAGGTCTTCCCTAATCTTTGTTTCTCCCAAAAGATCCCAGAATTTTTTGACATGGACATTGATATAAACTTGCAACTTATTGGCCATATAGTGTAACAAGAGACAGTATAGCGTAATAATTATGAACATGGATTCTAACCTCAGACTACATGAGCTGAAATCCCAGCTCTTTTGTTTAATTGTTCTGTAACCCTGAGCAAATTAATTGGCCTTATGGGGCCTCTAACGGTGATACTTATAGCACCTACCACATAAAAGATATGAGAATTAAATGAGATAATATTTACAAAGATCTTAACACTGTCTTTCTAGGTACTTAATAAGCATTAGCTATATTAGCTACTATTACTGGTTGTTGTATGAAGCACTGAGTTCTTAAATGGAAAAAAAGTTGAAATATAGTTAATAAATAAAGTATTAGGTAACACAGTTGTTAACGTGGATAACCCAAGACCTGTGTTAATTCAACATCATATTGTTGTCACATACTCTGCATCAGAACTGGTCAAGACAGCATCCTTGCCCTGTAGAAATCTCACCTCTGATGAATCTTTACTGGTTTTAGCCAATGAAATGCACAGCCAAGCTTGGCGCATCTTGTATTTACCCGGATATGTGGGTGGTTGTTTCCCTATTTGTCAAAAAAAAAAAAAAAAGCATTTGCCTGACAGATCTATTGTGCCAAGAGCCTAAAATGCCACTGACACACAGAATATTGTAAGTGTTCATGGAGCTCCAAAGCACTAGTTGTTATGTGATTTGTGAAGCTATAAACCCATCAAATAAAACATAGTTATGGTTTAAAACAAAGAACTCACAGTGAATTACCAGCCCCAGAATTCAGATTTCATTATTTTCTCCCTTCTATTTTGCACAAACAAAATCCAAAAATATTTATCTACTGTTGTGCTGGAGTCCTAGATGTATATCTTAACCACAAAACACAAGAAACCTAGTGTCAACTTGACTGACCTAGGAATTCACTGTCTTAGAGACCTCACCTCTATCAAGGGATAAACCAACTGTTCCTGGGTTGAAGTGCTTTGTACCAACACAGGAAAAGGCACCAGCTATGCTCATGTCTCTATTATGATTCTTTTTCATGTTTTTTTTTCTTTCATTCAAATTGCATCTGTAGGTGGTTCAAATTGCTGGCTTCTCCTTTCCCTGCTTCCACTGTAATGTTGCAAGAGTCATGTCGGCCTCTCACTGGGGGCTGTGCTCACAGTGCTTTGGTGGAACTCTGCTCTTGAGGCAGCAGCAGTGGGCAGCATGGCAAGACTTAATGAGAACAGAACTTGGAATTAAATGGGTCTGAGTTAGAATCTTTATTGCACACATCTGCATAACATCTATTTCATAGTATCATTCTTCCTCTCTTTCTTCAAATGTGTAGCTGTCCAACATGCACCAGCCTCTGGGATTCTGATGTGAATAAAATCTTCTTTTTCAGAGGTGAACAAATATTCTTCAAATATGAAGAAGATCTTTTCTTCACCTCTGAATAAGATATAGCGCTTGACCTGAAGGAGTTCACAGTCAAATAGGGGAGGTGGCCATGTACATAGATTGTTATAATGCAATATGCTAAATGCTCCCCTTAAAGCAGGCACAATACTTACTGGGAGCACAGGGTTTGAGGGGTAGGGTGGAGTGGGTATCTGATGCAGCTAGGGAAGAAATGGCTCCAAGAAGAGGTCACATGTGAGCAAGCAGGAGCAGGGCATCCCAGTAGAGAGAAAAGTATTGCAAAAGCTAAGAGCCATGGGAGAGTACAGCATGTTCAGGAGACTGCAAAGAGTTCCCTGTGGCTGGGGTAAATGTCCAAAAGTTGAAGAAGAGTCAGGAGTTGAACCTGGGAATGCATACAAGAGCCAGTTCACAGAAGACTCTGAAAGACCACGTAATAGAAATTTCTCCATAACCTTTCAGCTTGAATATAGTGAGGGGGCAAGATATTGAATCTAAGCTTTTCTAGGTGGGATATCATAATCAGGTATAAACACACACACACACACACACACACACACACATATACACAGAGTGCCACACACTTTCTCTGAGGTTAAGATATACATCTAGGACTCCAGCACAACAGTAAATGAGCCGAGGTCCTAGGTTGCTGCATGACTGACTCAGCCACTTCTAATTTATCCCACTGCCTGCAACTGATTCCATCTACAAAAATTGATGTAACATCGTCCCATCACCCATTGCTGCTGCCCCCAAATCAATCAGGCTATGGTGGATTTTTTTTTCTTGTATCTTTGCCTTTGACCTTGACTAAGGCTGTTGCCACTTGATTATCCATGCAGCAAACAGTGTCATATGCATGTGTCAAACCAATGGGAGCAGTCTTCTCACCCCCCGTCACTCCCTCCTCACCTGAGGGTTATCTTCTTGCCTTCTCCTCGACCTGTCTCAGAAGCCTGTATCAGCCTATGTCAGAGGTTGATATGTCATGGAGGCATTTGATGGCGATGTGCAGGTGCAAGGCAAGACCAAGACCGCCTCCTCCACAGCCTTACTAACTGTGAAAGGGACTCTGGTCCCTCTCTTTCCTCTCAAGACCCAGGTTAAGCTCCTCCTATCTGCCCTAACCTCTCCAGTCCCCCTCTTAAGCTAAGTCAGAGTTTAAACTTAAGTCCTTGTTTTTTTCCTTCAAAGTTTTTCTAGATATTAAGAAGTTCGTTTTATACTAGAGATGAGAGGAGCTGTGGAAGACTCTGCTTTTTACATCGCAAATGAATATTGTATATATTTGTCATGTACAACATGTTTTGAAATACATATATATTGTGGCATGACTACATCAAACTAATATATGCATTACCTCACATCCTTTTTTGTGGTAAGAACACTTAAAATCTATTTTTTCAGCAATTTTCAAGAACACAATAGTGTTATGGACTATAGTCACCATGTTGTACAATAAGGTCTCTTGAATTGATTCCTCTTAACCGAAATTTTGTATCTTTTAAACAAAATCTTCCCAATCCCCTCTCTCACTCCTTTCCAGTTCCTCTCTACTTCTATGATTTCAACTTTGTTAGATTCCACATATAAGTGAGATCATGTAATATTTGTCTTTCTGTGCCTGGCTTATTTCACTTGACATAATGTCCTGTGGAAGACTACTAAGAAGAGAAGCCAGGTGGTATAATTTCTGTTTATAAAAGATTTCTCAGGTTGCCTTTGAAGGATGGAGCAATGGAGATCACCAGGACACTGTTGCAATGATCCAGGCAAGACATAATAATGGCCTGCACCATTAGAGTGGCTGCAGTGGACAAGACAGAAAAGATTCAAGAGATTTTTATGAGATAGAGTGACTAAGATTTAATATCCACCACTATGACTATGAAGAACAATTTCATGAATGGGTGGATGGGAAGAACACAAATAGAAAAACTGGGAAGGAAGTTACAGGGCACCACTTTTGCTCTTTTGGGTTTGAGGAGTGTTTGGGACATTTTTTCTGTAGATTTTCCTGTTGGCTGTCAGAAATATGGTCTAGAGCTCAAGACAGAGATCCAGGCTGGAGTTGGAGGTTTGGAAGTCATTGGTAACAGGTGGGAGTTGAAACTGCAGCTTCTGATTA